CTCACCTCAGCCTCCCAAAGGCGCAGGATTACAGGCTGAGCCACCGAGCCCGGCTTAACTTTTTGATTTATTGTAAAGAAGGGGTCGTGCCAAGTTGCTGAGGTTGGTCTCAGACCTCTAGACTCAGACAGTCTTCTCGCTTCTGCCTTCCAAAGTGCTGGGATTACAGCCGTGAGCCACTGTACTGGCTTGGACATTTTTTAAAAATTATTTTTTAAAAGCCCTTTTTTGAGTTGGGGGTCTCGCTCTGTCATGCGGGCTATAGTACAGTGGCACCATCACAGCTCACTGCAGCCTTAGCCTTCTGGGCTCAAGCAATCCTTCCACTTCAGCCTTCTGAGTAGCTGGAACTACAGGAGCACACAACCATGCCTGACTAAATTTTTGATTTTTTTTGTAGAGATTAGGTCTTACTATGTTGCCCTGGCTGGTCTCAAGCAATCCTCCTGACTCAGCTTCCCAAAGTGCTGGGATTGCAGGCATAAGCTACCATGTCTGGCATTTTGAAACATTACTAATGACCAAAGCTAATACTTGAAAGCAATACTGATCTAACCTTAATGACTTTGCCTGATATAAATCTAAAAACAAAGTTCTGGGTTTAAAAAAAATAATAGTAATTAATTTAGAGATAGAGTCTCCTTCTATTGCCCAGACTGGAATGCAGTATCACAGGCATAGCTTGCTGCAGCCTTGAACTTGTAGGCTGAGGTGATCCTCCCATCTCAACCTCTTGAGTAGCCTAGACTACAATCGTGTGCCACCATTTCCAGCTAATATTTAAAAATTTTTGTAGCGATGAGGTTGCCCAGGCTGGTCTTGAATCTCTGGCCTCAAAGGATTCTCCCACCTTGGCCTCCCAAAATGCTGGGATTACAGGCTGAGCCACCAAACCTAGCCTTTTTCTTTGAGTTGGTGAGTCTCACTCTGTCGCCCAGGCTGGAGTGCAGTGGCATGCTCACAGCCACCCCAGTGTCAACCTGCTGGGCTCTGTGATCCTTCTGCCTCGGCCTTCCAAGTAGCTGGAACTATAGGCGCACACTACCATGCCCAGCTAATTTTTTATTTATTGTAGAGACAAGGTCTCATCCAGTTGCCTGGGCTGGTCTTGAACCTGTGGGCTCAGGCCATCCACTCTCCTCAGCCTCTCAAAGTGCTGGAATCACAGGCTGAGCCACCAAGCCTTGCCAAAAAAAGTTTTTTGTTTTTGAGCCAGTCTCACTCTGTTGCCCAGGCTGGAGTGTAGTGCCACGCTCACAGCCACCACTGCCTCGACCTGCTGGGTTCAGCCGATCCTTCCACCTCACCTTTAAAATAGCTGGAACTACAAGTGTGTACCACCACACCCAGCTAATTTTTTGATTTATTGTAGAGATGAGGTCTCACCAAGTTTCCCAGGCTGGTCTTGAGCCCCTGGGCTCAGGCAGTCCTCTTACGTTAGCCTCCCAAAGTGCTGGAATTACAGTCTTGAGCCACTGCTCCAGGCCTTAACAAAGTTTTTTAAATAATCGTTTTAAGCCAGGCTTGGTGGCTTAGCCTGTAATCCCGCGCCTTGGGAGGCTGAGGTGAGTGGATTGCCTGAGCCCATGGGTTCAAGACCCGCCTGGGCAACTTGGTGAGACCTCATCTCTACAATAATAAAAAAATTAGCCGTGTGTGGTAGCGCACGCCTGTAATTCCAGTTACTTGGAAGGCTGAGGCAGAAGGATCGCCGGAGCCCAGCAGGTCAAGGCTGCGGTGGCCAGGAGCGGCCACTGCACTCCAGTCTGGGTGAAAGAGTGAGACTCCAACTCAAAAAAAAAAAAAAATAGTTTTAGTCAGGCGCAGTGGCCCACGCCTTTAATACCAGCACTTTGGGAGGCAGAGGCAAGAGGATTGCCTGAGCTCACGGGTTTGAGGCCAGCCCGAGCAACCAACGTGGCGCGACCTCATCTCTACAACAAATTAAAAAGTTAGCTGGGAGTGGTGGCACCCTTCTGTAGTTTGAGCTACTTGGAAAGCTGAGGCGAAAAGATTGCCTGAGCTCAGCAGGTCAAGGCTGCAGTGGCTGTGAGCGAGCCACTGCACTTCGGTCTGGGCGACAGAGTGAGAGACTCTGACTCAAAAAAAAAAAAATTAGTTTTGAGATATATGCTCTACATTTCACCATTTTAAAGTATACAATTCAGACTGGGCACTGTGGCTCATTCTTGTAATCCCAACACTTTTGGAGGCCAAGTGGGAGAATTGCTTGTACCCAGAAGTTTGAGACCATCCTAGGTGACATAGTGAAAACATACCTCTATAAAAAAAATTTTAAAATTCACCAGTCACAGTCACTCAAGCCTGTAATCCCAGCACTTTTGGGGGCTGAACTTAGGGGATTGCCTGACCCCACAGGTTCGAGACCAGTCTGGGCAACATGGTGAGACCTTGTCTCTACAATAAATCAAAAAAATTACCCGGGCATGGTAGCTCATGCCTGTAGTTCTGACTACTTGGAAGGCAGAGGTGGAAGAATTGCCTGAGCCCACTAGGGTGGCCGTGAACGTACCACTGTACTCCAGCCTGGGTAATGGAGTGGGACTCCAACTCAAAAAATAAAATAAAAATTAAAAACATGAAAATATGAGCGGGGCATGGTGGGATGTACCTATAGTCATAGATACTTGGGAGGCTGCCCACAAGTCTGCAGTGAGCCATGATTATGCCACTATGCTCCAGCCTGGGCAACAGAGTAAGACTCTGACTCAAAAAAAGAAGTATACAATTCAATAGAAACTCTCTCTTATGGCAAAACAAAAATGTACATAACAAAATTTGCCATTTTAACCATTTTTAAGTGGAAAGCTCAGTGACATTATATATATTCACATTGTTGTGCAACCGTCACTACCATCCACTTCCTGAACTTTTTCATCTTGCAGAAATGAAACTCTGTACCCATTAAACAATAACTTTCTGCCAACAAGCACAAGAAAAGATGCTCAGCATTACTAATCATTAGAGAAACACAAATCAAAACCACAATGAGATATCATCTCATACCCATTAGAATGGTAATTTTTTGGCTCAGCCTGTAATCCCGCGCCTTTGGGAGGCTAAGGTGAGTGGATTGCCTGAGCCCGCGGGTTTGAGACCCACCTAGGCAACTTGGCGAGACCTCATCTCTACAATAAATCAAAAATTAGCTGGGCATGGTAGCGTGCGCCTGTAATTCCGGCTACTTGGAAGGCTGAGGCAGAAAGACCACTGGAGCCCAGTGGGTCGAGGCTGCGGTGGCCGGGAACAGCCACTGCACTCCAGTCTGGGCGACGGAGTGAAACTCCAACTCAAAAAAAAAAAAAAAAAAAGTAATGTTTTGGATATGAACCCAAAAGCAAAAATAGACATGGGATTGCATCAAACTAAAAAGCTTCTGCACAGCAAAGGAAACTACAAAGTGAAGAGACAACCTATGGAATGGGAGAAAATATTTGCAAGTCACACATCTGATATGGGCTATCCGTAGTATGTACGGAACTCAAAAAACTAGCATGGAAACAAAAAACTGGATTAAAAAATGGGCAGGCGGGCTGGACATGGTGGCTCACACCTGTAATTTCAGCAGTTTGGGAGGCCGAGGTGAGAGGATTGCCTGTGCCTACAGGTTCAAGACCAGCCTGGGCAACTTGGCAAGACCTCATCTCTACAATAAATCAAAAAATTAGCCGGGCATGGTGGTGCATGCTTGTAGTTCCAGCTACTTGAAAGGCTGAGGCAGAAGGATCATCTGAACCAAGCAAATTGAGGCTGTGGTGGCCAGGAGTGTGCTGGTGCACTCCAGCCTGGACAACAGTGTGAGACTCTAACTCAAAAAAAAAAAAAGGACAAGGGACCTGAATAGACATTTCTTTCTTTCTTTTTTTTTTTTAGAAAGTAAGATTTATTGAGAAGACAGAAAAACTCCCATAGTAGGAGGGGACCCGAAGGGGTTGACCCTAGATATTTCTTAAAATAAGACATTCAGATTGCCAACATGTATATGAAAAATGTTCAGCGTCTGTCATCATCAGGGAAATGCAAATTAAAACTATAATGAGATAGCACCACAATTGTTATGTTGGCGAGGATGTGAAGAAAAGGGAACTTTTGGGCTGGGCTCGGTGGCTCAGCCTGTAATCCCGCACCTTGGGAAGCTGGCCTGATCCCACGGGTTCGAGACCTGCTTGGGCAACTTGGCAAGACCTCATCTCTACAATAAATCAAAAAATCAGCCAGGCATGGTAGCGCGTGCCTATAATTCCGGCTACTCGGAAGGCTGAGGTGGAAGAATCGCTGGAGCCCAGCAGGTCGAAGTGGCAGTGGCCGGGAGCAGCCACTGCACTCCAGTCTGGGCGACAGAGTGAGACTCCAACTCAAAAAAAAGAAAAAAGAAAAAGGACAGCTGGGCGTGGTGGTGCGCGCCTATAGTTCCAGCTACTTGGAAGGCTGAGGCGGAGGGATTGCCGGAGCCCAGCAGGTCGAGGCTGCGGTGGCCGGGAGCGGCCACTGCACTCCAGTCTGGGCGACAGAGTGAGACTCCAACTCAAAAAAAAAAGAAAAGGGAACTTTTGTACACTGTTGGTAGGAATGTAATGTAGGAATGTACAGCCCTATGGAAAACAGTGTGGAGGTTCCTCAAAAAATTAAAAATAGAACTACCATATGATCCAGCAATCTCGTGTCTGGGTTTTTATCCAAAGGAAATGAAGTCAGCATGTCAAAGAGATACCTGCACTTCTGTGTTCACTGCAGCTTTTTATTCACAAGATACGAATGGAATCAACCTAAGTGTCCACGGATGGGTAAAGAAAATATGGTGTGTATATATACAATGGAATACTATTGAGCCTTTAAAAATGAAGGGAAATCTTGTCACTTTGTGACAGTATGGATGACCCTGAAGAACATTATGCTAAGTGAAATAAGCCAGACACGAAAAGACAAATACTGCATGATCTCGTGTATGTGGAATTTAAAAGTGGAACCCGGCTGGGTGTAGTGGCTCATGTAATTTCAGTACTTTGGGAGACCAAGGTGGAAAGACTGCTTGAGCCCAGGGATTCGAGACCAACCTGAGAAACATGGCAAGACCTCGTCTCTACAGAAACTAAAAAAATTAGCTGAGTGTGATGGCGCATGCCTATAGTCCCAGCTACTTGGGAGGCTAAGGCAGAAGGATTGCTTGAGCCCAGCATGTTGAAGCTGCAGTGATCTGTGATCGTGCCGTTGTACTCCAGCCTGGGCAGCAGACTCTAACTTAAAAAAAAAAAAAAGAAAGGAAATTCTGTCACGTGGTACATCATGAGTGAAGCTTGAGAATATTATGCTAAGTGAAATAAGCCTGTCACAAAAAGACAAATTCTGCATGATTTCACTTTTATGTGGTATCTAAAGTAGCCAAACTCTTTGAAACAAAATAGAATGGTGGTTGCCAGGGCCTGGGGGTAGGAGGAAATGAGAGTTGTTTAATGGAGTACTGTTTCAGTTTTGCAAGATAAAAAAGTGCAGCAGATCTATTGCACAAAAATGTGCATATACAGATGGTCCCCAATTCATGATATTTGACTTAGGATTTTTGAGTTTTATGGTGGTGCAAAAATGATGCACATTGAGTAGAAACCATACTTTGAGTACCCATACAATTCTGAGCATGTCCAAGGTAGGCTAGGCTGAGCTATGATTTTTGGTAGTTTAGGTATATTAAATGCATTTCAACTTGGGATGTTTTCAGCTTACAATGGATTTATTGGGACATAACCCCATTATAAGTAGAGGAGCATCTGTACTTAACACTGTTGAACTGTGCATCTGAAAACTGTTAAGGTGGAAAATTTTATATGCTTTTTATCACAGTTTAAAAAATACATTTATATTTTAATTTTTAAAGTGTTTTGTGACTTAAGGTCTAAGAGTTAAAAGCTACTAGCTTAAGTCATTATGCGTATACTGATAACAAAAAACATAAATATATGATAAGTTTTGATATGCAATATTTTAATTATTATTAGTTTTTAGTTTTTTAAGGGACAAGATCTTGCTATGTTGCCCAGGCTGGTCTTGCCTCTAGACTCAAGCAATTCTGCTTCAGCCTCCCAAAGTGTTGGGATTACGGGCATAAGCCACCATGCCTGGCCTTGATATGTAATTATTAAAAGTTAAATTTTATTAGAAATGGAAAAAAAAATCAGTAACTCTCCAGTTGTTCTCCCCAGGCCCTGGCAAACACCATTTTACTTTCTGTCTCTCTGAGTTTGATTTTACTCTGGGACCTTGTAAAGGGAATAAACAAGTTCTGACTTATTTCTCTCAGCAGATGTCCTCAAGGTTCATCCCTGATGTAGCATGTGACAGGATTTATTCCTTTTTAAGGCTAAAAACCCCCTCTTTTCATAGATGAGGTGCTTGCTCAAAGTTGCACCTCTCCTGACTCTAGATTCCAGAGGCATTGATGGACAGATTGGCCATGCTGGGCTCAGCCTCTGTGTTCTTACAAGTTCTGTCATTACTTCCCTCCACTATTGTTGCACTGACCCATGCCACAGCTTCTCTGGCCACTCTGAAGCACAGAGTTTCAGAGTCTGAGTGGATTGAAGTCTCCTGCTTTCCTCCCACAGATATTACGGCGGGACTGAGTTTATCGATGAGCTGGAGACCCTCTGTCAGAAGCGAGCACTGCAGGCGTACAGTCTTGACCCACAGTGCTGGGGAGTCAACGTACAACCCTACTCAGGTATTGCCACGTCCAGGTAGGCCAGTGTGTCCCTTTCATGCCCATCCCCCAGGGCCATGTGTACTGAGAGGAGTCCTAAGAAGGACTGCCCACAAGTAATATAAGCCAAGCCCTCCTGGTGTGTGTGCCCTCCTCCATTCCACTCAGGCTCCAGACTCTGCATGCCCCTCCCCGCAGTGCCCTGTCTCTGAACTTCCCTTCATTGCTCTCAATGGGACAGGTGCAGAGGCATCTCCTGGGGCTCAGGGAAGGCACAAAAGTGGCCAGGCCTGCTGTTGCCATTCCTGGGTGAAGGCCTAGTGGCCAAGTGTCTTGGTGCCTCAAGGGTAGAAATAACCGTGTCTCCTGTGGTCTACCTGTTCCAGGTTCCCCTGCAAACTTTGCAGTGTACACAGCTCTGGTGGAACCCCATGGACGCATCATGGGCCTGGACCTGCCTGATGGGGGCCACCTGACCCACGGGTTCATGACAGACAAGAGGAAAGTCTCCGCCACATCCATCTTCTTTGAATCTATGCCCTATAAGGTAAGAGAGTGTCTTTCTCCACAGCTTTCATTTCCTTGGAAAACCTCCAATGTTTGGCTGTGCCTGTGGGATAAATTTTGTCCCTGTGGCACTATAGGAAGTCCCCACCTTACACCATTCCCCATTTCCCTGTCCTGGGGATGCCTCAGGCTTTCAGAGCCCTCAGGGGAAAACTGGGATGGAGAGAAAAGGGTCTAGGCTGAGGCTACAGGGAGACAGGTAGAGGAGGTACCTACCGAGGAGGGTTCAGACACAGCTGGGGTGGCGGCCATTCGGGAACTGGTGGACAACAACCATGGGGAAAAACAACCCCTGGCAACCAGGTTAGCTATAGCAGGACACCAGCAACGGCCACCACCTCAGTAGCTCTGCCCTCATCTGGTAACATTCTTACTTGGGTGGAAGCCCTGCGGGCCAGCAGCTCCAAGGATGCTGGAGCTACAGAGACCGCAATGTCCTTGGCTCCGGTGGCAAAACCAAGCAGCTCCACCAGCAGCCACAGGTCTCTATGGAGATCTAGAGCCAGCCCTGCCTGTGTCTGGTGGCTATAAACGGTACAGTAGGTTCTTGACTTATGATGGCTTGACTTAGGACTTTTCAACTTAGGACAGTGTGAAAGCAAATACAAGGTCAGTAGAAGCTGTACTTTGAGTCTCATGTAACTTTTGTTTTTCACTTTTAGTACAGTATTCAATAGATCACAAGATAGTCAACACTTTATTTTATTTTATTTTATTTTTTTAAGTTGGAGTCTCACTCCATCATCCAGGCTGGAGTGCAGTGGCATATTCACGGCCACCCCAGCGTTGACCTGCTGGGTTCAGGCGATTCTTCTGCCTTAGCCTTCCAAGAAGCTGGAACTACAGGTGCGCGCTACCATGGCTAGCTAATTTTTTCATTTATTGTAGAGGGCTCAGGCAGGTCTCTCACCTTGACCTCCCAAAGTGTTGGAATTACAGGCTTGAGTCACCACACCCGGCCTATTTTATTGTTTTTTGAGTTGGAGTCTTACTCTGCCCAGGTTGGAGTGCAGTGGCACGCTCATGGCTACCACTGCCTCCACTTGCTGGGCTCAGGTGATCCTTCCACCTCAACCTTCCAAGTTGCTGGGACTACAGGTGTGTGCTACCATGCCTGGTAGTTTTTTGAAATTTATTGTAGAGGCGAGGTCTTGCCAAGTTGCCCAGGCTGGTCTCAAACCCCTGGGCTCAGGCAGTCCTCTTGCCTCTGTCTCCCAAAATTCTGGGATCATAGGTGTGAGCCACTGCGCCTGGCCTTAACAATAAGCTTTGTGTTAGATGATTTTGCTCAGCTGTGGGCTAATGCCAGTGTCAGAGCATATGTAAGGTAGGCTGCGCTGAGCCCTGATGTTCAGTAGGTTAGGTGCACTAAATGATTGTTGACTAAGGATTTTCAAGTTAACAGTGGGTTTATCAGGACGTAGCCTCATCATAAGTCGAGCAGCATCCGTGCAGCTCAGCCAGCTCCCTGCACAGAACTACCTCCTCATCTAGCTAAAGCTAGTATTAGCGGTGTGCCTAGCACCATAAGAACCAGAGCCCACAACTGCCTCTAGGGCAAGTATTTGTTGTTGTTGTTTTACAAATGTTTGCTCGAATAAACTCTTTAACTTTTTTTTTAATTTTAGATTCAGGAGGTACACATACATGTTTGTTACATGAACATATTGTGTAGTGGTGGGGATTGGGTCTCAGGTACAAGTATTTGTGGAGAGGACTCTTTATATTAACAGTTGGGTCAAAAATGCATATAAACTGTGTGGACTCATGTGAGGCATGGTGATTATCTATAACAGTGAAGGATGGTATGTAGAAAAGAGGTAACTTGCATATTCTTTTATTGTCCAGTGTTGGTGATTTTTCCTAGTTTCCAGGAACTATCTTTTCATGTTCTTTATTGTCAGTGTGCCAATCCTAGTTAATTTCATATTTGCTATCATGGAAAAAAGGTAGCTAACAGCACATCCTTATGCTTGACTAAATATTGGACACATGATTATATCTTTTTTTTTTGAGCTGGAGTCTCACTCTGTCACCCCGCAGCCTCAACCTGCTGGGCTCCGGCGATCCTTCCACCTCAGCCTTCCAAGTAGCGGGAACTACAAGTGCATGCTACCACACCTGGCTAATTTTTTGATTTATTGTAGAGATGAGGTCTTGCCAAGTTGCCCAGGCAGGTCTCGAACCTGCGGGCTCAGGCAATCCACTCATCTCAGCCTCCCAAGTCGTGGGATTACAGGCTGAGCCACCGAGCCTGGCTGATTATATTCTTTACAAGGAAATCAGGCCAGCTTCCTGTTTGGCATACCCTGGTCTTTGTTGCATACTGATTGTCCTGTATTTACTCAGCCTTTGTCTTACTTCTAGTGATTGCACATGTTCTTTTTTTGTGAAATCATTTCTTTTCATGAAAAGCCTAGGTGTTTCCAGACACAGATCTCCTTATTGACCAAGGCCAGTCTTGAAGCTGGGTTTTGAAACATGTGACAGTAATAACTTTGTTTTGGGGCTTAAAACATAAAAACCCATTTCTGGCTGAGCAATGTGGTTTATGCCTATAATCCCAATGGTTTGGAAGGCCAAGGTGGGAGGATTGTTTGAGGCCAGCTTGGGCAACATAGTAAGACTCCATCTTTCCAGAAAGATTTTTAAAATTAGCCAGGCATGGTGGTGCATGCCTGTAGTCCTAGTGACTTGGGAGGCTGAGGTGAGAGGATCTCTTGAGCCCAGGAATTTGAGGCTGCAGTGAGCCAAGATCAAATCACTGTACTCTAGCCTTGGTGACAGAGTGAGACCCTGTCTCTAAAAAAAATACAAATTTCTGCCAGGCATGGTGGCTCACTCCTATAATTCCAACACTTTGGAAGGCAGAGACGAGAGGATTTCCTGAATCCAGGGGTTCAAGACCTACCCTTGCAACTTGGCGAGACCTCATCTCTACAATAAATCAAAAAAATTTAGCCAGGCGTGGTGGTGTGCACCCGTGGTTCCAGCTACTTGGAAGGCTGAGGCGGAAGGATCACTGGAGCCCAGCAGGTCGAGGCTGTGGTGGTCAGGAGCATGCCACGTCATTCCAACCTGGGTGACAGAGTGAGACTCCAACTCAAAAAAAAAAAAAGAGCTTTAATGAATGGAACTTACTAAGACATGTGCTGCCAAAAAAGAAAAAAAAAAATACATTTCACATTTAGATCTACAATCCATCTGGAATTGCTTTCTTTCTTTTTCTTTTTTTTCTTTTTGCAATCCACTCACCTCGGCCTCCTATAGTGCTGGAATTACACACTGAGCCACCAAGCCCAGCCATCTTTCTTTTTTTAATCTTTTTTTGGGGACAATTACAATTCTCTATGATTATGGGATACACAGTGATGTCTATAGTGTGGAGTGATTGAAACCAGGTAATTAATACAGCCTTCTCCTTACTTACCATCCATTCCTCCTGTGTAACTGCAACTTTTTTTTTTTTTGAGTTGGAGTCTCACTCTGTCGCCCAGACTGGAGTGCAGTGGCCGCTCCCGGCCACTGCAGCCTCGACCTTCTGGGCTCTGGCGATCCTTCCGCCTCAGCCTTCCAAGTAGCCAGAATTACAGGCATGCGCTACCACGCCCGGCTGATTTTTTTATTTATTGTAGAGATGAGGTCTTGCTGCCCAGGCGGGTCTCGAAGCCGCGGGCTCAGGCAATCCACTCACCTCAGCCTCCCAAAGGCGCGGGATTACAGGCTGAGCCACCGAGCCCGGCTGTAACTGCAACTTTCTACCCTTTGGTCAGTATCTCCCCGGTTCCCCCCAACTCCTCTACCCTCTGGTACCTACCATTCTGTTCTATGCTGCTGTGAGTTTGATGGTTTCAGATTCTGCCTGTAAGTGAGATCATGCAACGTTTGTCTTTCCGAGCCTGACTTATTTCACTAAGCATGCTATCATCCAGGTTCATCAGTGTTTTTGCAAATGACAGTATTTCTTCTTTTCTTCAGGTTGAATAGTATTCCATCGTATATGTACACCACATTTCCTTTGTCCATTCATCTGTTGATGGACACTTAAGTTGATTCCATAACTTGGCTATTCTGAATAGTGCTGCAGTGAACATGGGGATGTAGCTGTCTCTCCAACTCACTGATGTCAGTTTCTTGGGAAGTATACCTAGGAGCGGGATTGCTAGATCCAGAATTGATTTCTGTATGGTGTGAGGTAGGATCCAGATCACAGTTTTGCCCATATGTATACCTAGTTGACCGAATGCCATTGACTGAAAAGGCCATCTTCCTCATTGTACTGCAGGGTCACCATTGGTGTCAGTGCAGTGACCTGTATCACATGGGGTTCTGTTTCTGGCTGTCTTCTGTCTCATCAGTCGTGTTGTCTGCCCTTCCACAAAGGCATGCCGCCTTAATTACTGTAACTTGGCTGGGCTCGGTGGTTCAGCCCGTAATCCCAGCACTTTGGGAGGCCGAAGCGAGTGGATTGCCTGAGCCCACAGGCTCAAGACCAGCCCAGGCAACTTGGCGAGACCTCGTCTCTACAATAAATAAATAAAAATTAGCCGGGCTTGGTAGCGCATGCCTGTAGTTCTGGCTACTTGGAAGGCTAAGGTGGAAGGATCGCTAGAGCCCAGCAGGTCAACACTGGGGTAGCCATGAGCATGTCACTGCACTCTAGCCTGGGCGGTGGAGTGAGACTCCAAGTCAAAAAAAAAAAATTACTGTAACTTTTCAAGTATTTAAACACTTCTTTCAGTGATATTTTATGTAGATGTCTTGCACATCTTTCATTTTATGGTCTTTGACACTAATGATAATGTTATTAGAATTTCATTTTGATGCTGGCTGTGGTAGCTTATGCTTGTAATCCCAGCACTTTGGGAGGCAGTGACGAAAGGATTGCCTGAGTCCAGGGGTTCGAGACCTGCCTGGGCAACTTGGTGAGATCTCATCTCTACAGTAAATCAAAAATTAGTCAGATGTGGTGGCACACGCCTGTGATTCCAGCTACTTGGAAGACTGAGGTGGAAGGATCGCCTGAACCCAGCAGGTCAAGGCTGCAGTGGCTGTGAGCATGCCACTGCACTCCAGCCTGGGCAACAGAGTAAGACTCCGACTCAAAAAAAAAATTTACTTTGTTTTTGTTGCTTACACACACACACACACACACACACACACACACACACACACACACACCTGGGCAACAGAGTAAGACTGACTCAAAAAAAAATTTTTACTTTGTTTTTGTTGCTTACACACACACGTACACACACCTGGGCAACAGAGTAAGACTTGGACTCAAAAAAAAATTTACTTTGTTTTTGTTGCTTACACACACACACACACACACACACACACACACACACACGTACACACACGTACACACACCTGGGCAACAGAGTAAGACTCCGACTCAAAAAAGAAAATTTACTTTGTTTTTGTTGCTTACACACACACACACATAAACACACATAATTGATTTTTGCGTTTTAACACTGATCCAGTGACCCTGCTGAATTCACTTATTAGTTCTGAAAGTTTGCCTCTAGAGTCTTTTGGAGTTTCTGGGTACACCATGTTGTCTGTGTGTAATGTCAGTTTTTAAAATTTCTTCTTTTCTAATCCTTATGCCTTTTATTTCTTTTTCTTGCCTCATTATACTTGGAATAGGAGTGGTGTTAGCAGGCATTTTTTCTCATTCCTGAAGGTAACAGTATTTTAGTTTGCATTGTGTGGTGCTTATTTGTTTCATCTATTTCATTCTGCAGGGTATGTTTTGGCTCCTTTTGTCAAGGGTAGTGCCCCAGAGGCAGGACTCACTTTTCCCCCAGGGACTCCTTAGAGCCCCCTGGGTTTGTGAGTGATATTAGCTGTCTACACCACTTGTACAGGCTGAAGACACTGCGCTGAAAATGGTCTCATTCTCAAGTTCTCATCTGGGACGTCTTTCCTGTTGTTGAGGTGGGAGGGCAGGAGACAGGTGTGGCTGGAGGAAAGCAGCCTGAGTCTGTCACCCTGACATCCCACAGGTGAACCCAGACACTGGCTACATCAACTACGACCAGCTGGAGGAGAACGCCCACCTCTTCCACCCGAAGCTGATCATCGCAGGTGACGGGGTGGGGTGGAAAGCAACCTTGTTCACCAGCAGTATCTGTGCCTCTTTTAGAATGAGAATATGAAGATACTCCTGCCCTGTCATAGCTCACTGCAAGTTTCTGCCTTGGATAACTAAGTTTCTGGGGTCCACTTGTATTCTTTTCTTTCAGGACACAGGTCTGTGTTTGCCGTGGTGCATAGTGGAATAAGATCTCAGTTCTCAGAGAAGCTAGAGATTTTAATCCCTTACTGACTGTCTTGGTAGTAACGGTTGGGGGCATCCCAACCACCATGACACTGAAAAGTCAGATCAGAATGGTTCTCTTTAGCACAAAGATGTTTTTTGAGGGCATTCTCCATTAATGTTCTCAGATTTTAGGGGGAGAGATGTTTAGGCTTTCAGATCAATGTGTCTGGAGGCTGCTTTGCAGATGTGCACTGAAGCTGACTTGGCTGGCCTGTGGTCATCTCTGAAGTGACTGTCACCTTTCCTGTCTCAGGAACCAGCTGCTACTCGCGAAACCTGGACTACGCACGTTTGCGGAAGATTGCAGATGAGAACGGAGCATATCTCATGGCGGACATGGCGCACATCAGCGGGCTGGTGGCGGCAGGCATGGTGCCCTCCCCTTTTGAACACTGCCATGTGGTGACCACCACAACCCACAAGACCCTCAGGGGCTGCCGAGCTGGCATAATCTTCTACAGGAAAGGTGTGTTCCCTAGTGTTGGGTAGAGAAGGGTACTGCCATTGGTCTTGTTCCTGTGGGAGTTCAGATCCAGTTGAGGGAGCTGGGAAAAACTCTGACCTCAGATCCCTTGAAAATATTAGTCCCCTAGCCAGGCTCGGTGGCTCAGCCTGTAATCCCGCTGAGCTGAGATGAGTGGATTGCCCGAGCTGGGAAGCTGAGATGAGTGGATTGCCCGAGCCCGTGGGTTCGAGACCCGCCTGGGCAGGCGAGACCTCATCTCTACAATAAATCAAAAAATTAGCC